GCCCCTGCCCCTGCCCCTCGACTCTCCTCATCTCCCTCTCTTCCTCGCCTCCTCCTCCTGTTCCTCGTCCCACCTGTGACAGCGTCGCTTCGACTCGGTCGAGGGTCATCCCTGTTGCCACGTCACCTCCTGTCTCAAGTCTTCTCCTCGAGATTTAGCCTACCTTGGCATTTGTGCACACTGACAGCCCAGGCAAGAGACAGCGGAACTTGCTTCCTCTCTGCAATGACCTGCAGAACGTGAGGGATGGAGAGTGAGGGGAGCAGGAGCAGGAGCAGGAGCAGGAGCAGGAGCAGGAGCAGGAATGCTAGAAGTAAGAGGAGTAGGAGAGAAGGAGGAGTAGGAGGAGACCTGTAGGCCGAGGAACAGGAGGAAGAGGAAGATGGAAAGTGAGAAGCGTGGGAGGAAGAGCAGAGGGAGAAAGAGCGGAGTAGGAAGAGCAGGAGGAGGCTGTACCTGGTCCGCCTCATATAGCGTCCAGACTTCTTGTGTGATAGTCTACAACTGAAGTCACAAGCATGTACAGACAGGAGGAGAAAGAAGCACCATGGTGATGCCGCAGGCAAACTTGACCCTGGGGAGACACTTCCTTGTATTGGTTGAGTTTTGCTCAAAGGCAACCACGACTCCTCTGATCTCAAATGTGTCACCAAGATTTCAATCATATCGTGAAGGTTTCAATCATATCATCATATATTGAAACATGCCATAATAGCTTCAATCTTTTCACCGTGATTTCGATTACATCGTCACAATTTCAATCCTTCCACCAGAGTTTCAATGGTTAAACTCACCTTGCCCCGTTGACCAGCCCAGACGAGATATCAAGGTTCTTCAGGCACATCACTTGCGCTCCGATCTGAAACCATGACGTTAACGAGCCTTCCTGCTGCTGCTGCTGCTGCTGCTGCTGCTGCTGCTGCTGCTGCTGCTGCTGCTGCTGCTGCTGCTGCTGCTGCTGCTGCTGCTGCTGCTGCTGCTGCTGCTGCTGCTGCTGCTGCTGCTGCTGCTGCTGCTGCTGCTGCTGCTGCTGCTGCTGCTGCTGCTGCTGCTGCTGCTGCTGCTGCTGCTGCTGCTGCTGCTGCTGCTGCTGCTGCTGCTGCTGCTGCTGCTGCTGCTGTCCCTGTCCTCGTCCTCATCCTTCTTTCTCCTCTTTCTGTCCCTCTTCCGACTCTTTGTCCTCCTCCTCCTCCTCCTCCTCCTCCTCCTCATCATCATCATCATCATTTCTGTTGCCTTCCTCCCCGTACCTCCTATGCTCATAAGGAAGAGAAGAGAAGAGAACAAAGAAAGTGCAGAGCAGGAGCAGGAGAAGGAGAAGGAGAATGAGGAGAAGGAGTACGAGGGGAAGGAGGAGGAGGAAGAGGAAGAGGAAGAGGAGGAGGACTCGAAGGAATCTGACCTTGAGAGAAATAACTCTCTCAACCCCCAAAGACTCCAACCTCAGCTGGTGATGACTTTTGCCACTCTGTTTGAAATTTCTCAGGTCAGCAAGTGACTGGCTACGACGTCAGCAACCTTGATATTGTCCTCAGCAACAAAGTCCACACTCTCTCCCGGGAGCGATCTCAGATGTTTCTCATTTTCTTTCGATTGATCGTCATCAACGGCACAAAAACAAACCAACACACTACACAACAAAGCACACACCTGCCCGAACGTTCACGTTGTAAGGATGCAACTTGGTCATCGTAACACCATCGGCATTCTGTTCGGGGCGATGATTTTGACAGCTGACATGTTCGAGTGAGTCAAGATGTATGGCGTTCACAGTCGTCCAACGCACTTCAGCAGCGCGATCGCACTGGCTGCACTGACATGGCCCCAGCGGAGCTCGTTCAGCATCCTGACAAACTCGTCGTCCCCCTGCCTCATGACCTGCAAGTTCAACAGTGAGATTGAAGTGGGTGGTCTTCAAACGATCACTTGGCGAAGCTCGATTGTTGTCTTTATCGCATGTTTCCATGCTTGACTCTCGAATGCGAATTTCTTCTTTTCTGCAGACAAGCATCATCATCTCCATCATAATCTCCATCATCATCATCTCCATCATCATCATCTCCATCATTGCCAACGTCACAATGACGTTATCATCACTTATGTCGTTGTTGTTGTTGTTGTCGTCGTCATCATCATCATCACCATTATCATCACAATTATCATCTCCATTATCATGAGCAGCACCACCACAAGAACACTTCAACTATTCTACTTGCAGCATTCGAAGCAACTCTCACCATCATTCGAGACTGGGGGAAGTTGAAAGAAATCTCCGCAAACGACAAGCTGTATCCCACCAAACGGGAGATTTTTCTGTGGTATATGATCAAAATCATCCTCACAATACTCTCATCACATTTTTCAGTTGTCTTGCGACATAATCGATGGAGTCAAAGAGATTTGCGTCGATCATTGAGATCTCGTCGATAACAATCGCCTGTTTGACCCATCAAATCTCGAGCAACACACTATCTTATCGTTCACTTTTGTCCTCTGCCATCGCAAGGATACTAACTTGTTTGCCCAAACCTGCCTCAGCTCGTCACATTGCGAAAAGCAAGACAATGATTCGGAAGAAGTGTCAAAGTGACTTTTCAATGTACACACGGACTAAGAAGTCGAAATGGTTCGTGAGTTGCTGTCGCAGAATTATGATGAGAATGACATTCCGCATGTGAAACGTGTAAATGCTATCGAGTCGTGTGAGAGAATAATATGAGTTCAGCTGCAAAGATATCCATGTGCTGTGGTTCTTGCCTTTTTCACCAAAGTATGGGGATCCCCTTTACCCAGACCTGGAATGCGAAGATGAGGTCGAGAAAAGGAAGGGAAAGGAGAGGAAGGGAGAGGAGAGGAGAGGAGAGGAGAGGAAGGGAGAAAAGGAGTGGAAAAAGAGGTAACAATGGAGGCAAAGGGGAAGGGTTGGGGAGCAGAGCAGGGACTAGGGGAGTGGAGCAAAGCAGGGAGGAGAGGAAATGAGTGAAACTATCACCTATCCCCGCAAAAGCATGAATAGTTGTTCCACCAATAAGGACAGCAGCAGCGCCAGTGCTGGGAAAAGGATCAGACAAGCTCATCCAAGAGAAGGGAATGACAATTTTCAACATCATATCACATAGATTTCATTCGGGACTGATCCTCTTACAACAATGTCACTTTGTTGTTATCAACCCACACAAGCTCCAAGACAAACTTTCAAACATCTCAACTTCAATCACCTTGCTGTCACGTGGACTCCACCACCATGCCTCCTTTTCAGCGCTTGAATCACGTGTCGAAGAACAAACGACTTGCCAGTACCCGCACTCCCTGCCGCGAGAAATCATAACAGAAAGGTGGACGGCATGTTATTTTTGTTAAATAGAAGGTAGCAATGTCAATAATGTGATATTGTTCAAATGAAGTCGTTTCAATGATGCAATTACACAAACCGGTCAGGAAGAAATTCTCGCCATCCCGCACAGCCTCAACAGCTTGTGCCTAACGAGAACTATCATAACAAACCTCAGCAGACAAACTGAAGTCGCACTTGCTCTAAGGTCAGTTGGCCGTTCATGGACATCCTGGGCTTCTTTCTCCTGGTAACAATCCGTGAACATGCTGTTTCAAGGACAAGTACATGCTCCTCTTGACACATACTTCTTGTCATCTTTCACATCTGGGTCAAGATACTTCTTCTTGATCTCAAGCAGAACATCTTGGAACTTCTTTTCTCCATCGAAGTCTTCACTCTCAGCATCGTTGGCCGTAGCTTCAACATCAGCTGCGGAAGTTGTCAAACCAGTCCGCCATAAACCTCAGCTACCATTTCTTTGCACTTTGAGGGGTGTCGGAACATATCTCTTGCCCGTCTTCGATTCCTCCATCTTACTTCTGCCATGGTTGATAATTTGTCAGCTCTTCGTTCAAACCTGCAACTGCATCATCGAACCTGAAAAACGGATGGATCTTCTTCGGCACTGGGAGCCCTGACGTCTGAGAATCTCTTCCTGCAGCAGCTTCACGGTACGTCCCTGCTCCGCCCATTGTCTACCTCCATCCTCCATCTCGTTCATCGTTGAACCCCCTCGCAGGTACAGCTGAGACACCCTCCTCCATCCACAAGGGCAAGGTGCGTGCGTATGCCCAGTTGGTACGTAGCTGGTGCATGGCAGAACGAGGAGGAGGAGCAGGATGAAATTGGTGTTTCCAACCATAGGATATGGGCTTCTCTACATGATCTCTCCTTCCGGTTCTCCCTCCCTCTTCCTCTTCTTCTCCATCCCTCCCGCTTCCTCCCTCTTCAGATGGACGTCTCCTGCACAGGATCAGTCAGAGGATCCGTCAGACACAAACCCATTCCCTCAACACGCATCATGATACACAAGATGCGCTGTTGCAATGCGTCCAATCCTCCCCCCAGCCCTGCAACGATTGCATCTCCTACTAGCTTGAAGCTTCAACTTGCTCCATCTTCTTCCCCCTCCTCCCCTCTCGTCTCCTCCTGCTCCTGATTCCTCTCCTCCAACCCTCCTGCCCGACTTGTCTCCTTTCCTTCCTCCTCCTTCTCGCAACCACCCCATCCCTCCCCCTCCCCCTCCTCCCCGTCCTACTACTCCCACCTCCCCTTCCCGCCAGTACGCCATTCCACCCGAGCCCCAGTAAAACGATTTTATAATTCTCGGTATTGCTCTACAATCTTGAGTTATATATAAAGTCACATCTGTATCATTAAAATGTTTTAATGCTTCATACTAAAACTTACTTTTAAAGAACCTTGGGGCGGATCCGGCATGGCGTGAACGATTATGCACGGAGGAAGAAGAGGAGGACGAGGAGAAGGGGGAGGGAGAGGAGGGAGAGGAGGAGACGAAGGAAAGTTACAAGATGGAAGCGCAAGGGGAGGAGAGTCAAGAACCAGCAAAGACAACGCGAGGAGACGGCATGGAAGGTTCAGGACGGGAGACTGGGCGGTCGGAGGCGTGGCGTCGTATCTCCTCTCCTCTGCTATCGTGGGATCCATGCTGCGCTGCTCTACCACAAACCTCCTCGACTTCTCCGGTCTCCAGCCCTGTCCTGCTCATGCGTGTGATGGCCGCCGGTTCAACGAGAGCTGTCATGGTCTGCTTGCCCTGCGGGTGAGTCGAGCGAAGAGCAGGGCGATGAGATGAGTGACTTTCTTCACGCATGCAGGGAGGAAGTCCGTCCCTGTCTACCATCCCGCGCTCATGGCCTCTGAAAGACAACTGGACGAAAACTTACGGGGGGAAGGTGAGAGGACAGGAGGGAGGGGGAGGAGTTTGAAGGGGAGGGCAGGTGTTGGAGGTAAACGGGACTCTTTGCTATCACTTCAAGTACACGCCGAAGATGGTGAAGCCAAAGGAGGAGGCGATCGAGTACTTCAAGAGGAGGCTGAAGAACAGGAACGTGTTTCAAGCAACGATCGATGAGTGCAGGGACGACCCAAAGAAGCTGGAAAAGCTCCTGGACAAGATCCTGTGGACGTATGACGCGATAAAGAGGCTCAAGTGGTTTGACTTTGACATCGACCCTCCTGCTGTGAGTGCAGATGGTGTACAAGAGGGGAGGAGGGAGGGTGTGATGGCTGTTACAGGTGAAGGGGGAGCAGAAAAAGGAGAAGCTGGAGAAGTTGAAGAAGAAGAAGAATGAGCAAAACGAAATCAGGAAGAGGGTCATGCCGACTATTGAGAACTTGGCGAGTGAATGGTTTGACCTGCCGGCCAAGCAAGACAAGAAGAAGTCAAAGAAGGACAAGAAGGTCGAGGAAGGGAACAAGACTTTGGGTTCTACAGACACTGTTCATGAGACTTCAGGTGGAAAGACGAGGAAAACAAGGGAAGCAAAGGAATCCAGCCCGGTTGCCATGTCTTCGGAGGAGGCAGACAGCAAGAAGTTGAAGAGGATGGACGTGAAGGAGACAAACGACGAGGATGAAGACGTAGAGGAACTCTGCGAGAAAGCTCGTCACTCGTTCGAAGACATCCAGGTTGATACTCGTCACAAGAGGAAGAACCCTCTTCAACTTGGAAGATGAGGGCGGAGATTGTCTGAGCTGTGATTTGTCTCCGATCTTGTAATGTTTCTTAGCCAGTCCTACAAGATGGGAGTAAACCGATTTCTGTTGTTGAGCGGTTCTTGCCGTACGCTAACGTTTTGCTTTCGGGGATGATTTGTGATGCCTTTTTCAGCTTCTCTGTTCTGAATTTGACCGAGCAGAACTTTACAGCAGCCGAGATGTACTACCGGAGGATACTAGAGATCGCGCCGGACCATGTTGAGACCCTCTGCAACTTCGCTCTGTTCCTGGAGATGACGCAAGTGAGTCGAACACAACATCAACTGCAAGGGGGGATCGGGCATGGACGTTTTGCTTTCTCGACCTGACTTGTTTCGAATGTTTGCAACCTCGGGGACAATCTCTTCTATCTTTGCGCCATGTTGCAACCTCGCTCACTGCTGACTCTCATCGCTGCCGTTGCTGATCGATTTCAAGGACGAGGATAATCCGGAAGAGAAGTATGAGGAGGACATCAGCACGGCCCACATGATGTACGACAAGTGAGTGCGACTTTGACGTTTTTCTTCATCGAATTCTCAACTGCACATGTCAATCTTCGGGAACTTGGCAGGGCTGCCTCGTTGGAGCCGGCCAACGTCGATGTCCTGTATCAAGTGATCGGAATCGATAGAGGATACCCAAGGTGACTAGTTGACAGCAAGCGTTGTTCTACAAGAACCGACTTGAAAACTTCACAAAGACGGAGGAAATTTTCAAAGTAGCTTGATCTCTCTATTCTCCTACTCTTGTTCCTGACATGGCATGAAAGAAAATCCTAAAGTTGGACCCATCAGAGGCAACTACTCTCTGCAACTATGGCCTTCTGTTACACTATACGGTAAGAATATCTTGTTCTCCTCCTCCTTTCTCCCTCCGTCCTCCTCTCTCCTACCCTCTCCCTTCTGCCTCCTCTCTCCTTCCTCCCTCCTTCTCCCTCCCTCACACCTCATCCCTGTTACTCCTCCTCCTCCCTTCCTCCTCCTCCCTTCCTCCTCCTCCCTTCCTCCTCCTCCCTTCCTCCTTGTTCCTTCCTCTCCCCCCCTCCTCCCTCCTTTGACCTCTTCAAGCAGAAGAACGATACAAAGGCGGCAATGCAGATCTATGAGGTGACTGAGGATGAATTTCTTCGACGTCGTTACGCAACCTCCAGAGAGCTTTCCAGTTACAACCTGAAACGCTGAGCGATGAAGAGAAGATCTCGTTGTATTATAACATGGCACAGGTAATCTGATGAAATATCATCATCGTCCAATATCATATTGTCTCAATCTTCCTCTCCTTTCCTCCCTCTCCTCCCTCCCTGTTCTTCTTCTCTCCTTCCTCATCCTTTCTCCCTCTTCCTCCTCCGCTTTCTTCCTCCCTCCTCCCTTTTCCATCTCCCTCCTCCCTCCTCCCTTTTCCATCTCCCTCCTCCCTCCTCCCTTTTCTTTCAGTGCCTCCTGATTCGTGCTTCTTTCTCGCTAGCTGTATGAGGCAAACCTCGCAACCCTGGAGGAGGGAAGGAGGATGTATGAGCGGGCCCTTGCGATCTCTCCAACAGACTCGACCATCTTGGTTGTCGGCTGCTACTGATCACTCGCTCTGACTACCAAGACAGGGAAAACTTGGACTGCTGTTCCATCAAAAGCTCAAGAACGACTCAGCGGCTGAGGAATATTATCAAGCTGCAGTAAGAGTTGAAGATACTGAGTAAGCGAAAGACGATCGTGATAGTTAGGATGACATGCTGGCAAGTTGTATTCCTGCGATGTCGAACTATGCTGTGTTCCTGCAACACCGGCAGAGATACGATGAGGCTGAAGCTGTGTTGAAGAAGGTTGTGCCTGACTGCTTGCTCCGTCTCCATCGTGCGTGAGAGCATTGGCAGGCCATCGAAATCCAACCTGACGAAGCTGACAACTACTGCAACTACGGGCAGGTGAAGAGCGAGGATTCAAGATCTTGCTGTTGCTGATTGCTGTGAAGTTCTTGCAGAAGAAGCGAGGGAAGATACAGTCAGCAAGATAGTGAGTTCTGTTTTCTTTCCTTCCTGTTTTCCTGGTCGATGATGATATCGCCTTTCTTTCTCATGTTCTTCATGATGATGATGATGATGATGATGACGATGATGATGATGATGATGATGATGGAGATGATGATGATGATGATGATGATGGAGATGATGATGGAGATGATGATGGAGATGATGGAGATGATGATGATGATGATGATGAAGCAAATGAAGGAGGAGGATGAGGAGGTGAAGGAAGAGGAGGAGGAGAGGCGAGAAAAGGGGAGGAAAAGTCTCGTAGCATTCGATGACACGAGCATGCAGCTACTATCACATGGCATTGAACTTAGACCCTGACCATCTTCGGACTCTCTGCAACTACGGTACTCTACTAGGAAAGCACGTCAAGAACTACACTCTTGCCAAGGAGATGGTAAGGAGAAGGACGAAGAAGAGAGCGATGTGTTGTTGATTCCTTCTAGTTTGAGCGAGCAATGGACGTCGACGAGACAAACGAAGACGCAAGGCTGGGGTACATGACGTGCATGCAGGTTGTCTTGCTGCGGTGTAAGTGTGAGGTTAGACTGAGAGTTTGATGTTTGCAGGAGATACACAACGCTGTGATCGTCGACGTCGGGGAAGAAGTTAAGGAGGCAATCAACGATGAGGATGAAGAAGATGAAGAAGAAGATGAGGCACGAGACGCGGTCTAGATGGGAGGGAGGAAGAGAGAGGGAGAGAGTAAGAGGGAGAGAGAGAGTGAGAGTGAGAGTGAGAGAGAGGGGACTGAGGACGAGGGCGAGGAAGGAAGAGGCGAAGATAACGAACAAGTGTTGTATTTTAAGGTAGTTTGGCTAGCAAACCAAAATGACACGTTGGACATCTTGTGCGAGGCCGTTACATGGCAGTTACACTCATATTTTTGACACTAATTGACACAATCTCTCGCCTCTGCGTTGACTTTGACCGCCGGAATGACTTTCAGTGACGAGTTGACTTTCAGTGACGATTTGATTTTCGACCGTCAAAGTTGACTTATGCCACCGATTCGCACCTCAGCTGGAGATTTTTCTCGACCATTTCCCTTCGTCTCCTCGAGGAGCCACGGCCAAATTCATTTCTGAGAGACCCGTCAACTGCATACAGATGCACAAGCCTCCTTCATCATCATCATCATCTCATCATCATCATCATCATCATCAACAACAACAACAACAACAACAACAACAACAACAACAACAACAACAACAACAACAACAACAACAACATCTCAATCATCCCTTCGCTGTCTCTTCCTTCTCCTCCTTCTTAGCCATTCCCGCACTCAAACCTCCTTTCTCTCCTCCCTTGTTTCTCACCGGCTGGTGTGTTGGGGAGCATGAGACTGGGTTTGAACAGAGGCTCCTGCTGCTGCTGTACATCAACCCCTTGAACATGGGCGACAGGGAGGAAGGAGGGAGAGAAGAGGAGGGTGGGTGGGAGAGAGGAGAGAGGCAGGCAGGTAAGGATGATATTTTACCGACTGCGACGAGAAGCGGAAGGAGGAGAGTAGGCGGATGACAACAAGTTTGCTGATGTAGAAGGCAACGGCCTAGAGAAGCAAGAGGGAGAGAGGAGAAGGAGAAGGAGGAGAAGGAGAAGGAGGAGAAGGAGAAGGAGGAGAAGGAGAAGGAGGAGGAGGAGGAGGGGAAATAAACCATGTGTGAGAACATACAAACGTCTGAAAGAGCAGGTAGACCTGGCCTGGACATCCTCTGAGACCCATTGAAAATCTGCGCGACAACATGAGAGAAATAGAGGAGAAGAGGAGAAAGGAGGAGGGACGAGAGGGGGGGAAGCGGGGAAAGTGGAGAAAAAGGAAGAGAACAAGAAGGGACGAGGGAAGAAGAGAAGAGGAAAGGAAGTAGGGGAGAAAAAAAGCAAGAGGAGGAGCCAGGTCCAATAATGTATAGTAGAAGGTAGCAGCAGGAGCAGGAGAAAGAAGGAAGGAGCAGGAGCAGGAGCAGGAGCAGGAGCAGGAGCAGGAGCAGGAGCAGGAGCAGGAGCAGGAGTAGGAGCAGGAGTAGGAGAAGGAGCAGGAGCAGAGCAGGAGTAGGAGCCGGAGCAGCAGGGACTGCTACGAGCGGGAGCAGGAGTAGGAAGTTAAGGAGGAGGAAGAGCATACGGATAATAGTGATCGGGTTTGACTATGTTGCCCGAGGAGTCAAGAAAACGATTCGGGTCGAACTGAAGTAGAAGGAAATAGCTTACATGACCATAACAATGAATGGAATTCATGATTGCTAACCTTGTTCGGATCCTTCCAATTGTCTTCATTTCTGTGAACCCACCTGACATCGCCATCATCTCCATTGTCATTGTCATCATCATCATCATCATCATCATCATCATCATCACCACCACCACCACCACCATCATCATCACCATCATCATCATCATTTCCGTCATCATCATCATCATCATCATCATCATCATCATCATCATCATCATCATCATCATCATCATCATCATCATCTTACCACATATTTGTCATGATATCCGCTCCTTGAGGTATCGAATACCCTCCGGCAACATCGTCCTATCATCCATCAAATCTCTTTGCAAATTTCTCATCTTCTCTTACATGTTTGCACATCCGACCGATGTGAATTGGGCTGTACATCCTCAGCGTTTCTTTGAGACAAACTTCTAGCAGCTGGAGCTTGTTGAGATCCCTGATAACAACACAAGGAAATGAATGAGAACACAAGATAAAAATTTGTTACATTTGTTTCCTCCTCTTTCTCCCTTTTCCTATTGCTTTCCTCTCTTGCGGCTGTCTCCTTTCCTCTCCTCCCCTCCCCTCCTCCTCAACTCCTCTCAGCTCCTCGTCTCCGCTCCTCTACCCTTCCCTCCCCCCCCCCCTCCCCCTCTTCTCTCCTATCTCCTATCTCCTCTCTCCTATCTTCTATCTCCCTCTTCCCTCCTCGCTCTCCTATCTTCTATCTCTCTCCTCCTCCTCCACTCCTCCTCCTCTCCCCTCTTCTCTCACCTCACAAAACTCTCTTCAGTAGAGTTTGCCTGGTAGCCGATACATTCCTGTGCAACCTTGTCCTGCATCGTCGTCATCTTCAAGTTCTCCTTTCCATCTCATTTTTCCCACCTGCAACTTGATGTTGTCGCTCAGGTGCCACATCAGCCAAGAGATCGTGCTCGTCACTGAAGTTGTTCCGGTGAACAGAAACTCCATCGCCACCTGTACATCATCAGCTCCCCCCCTGCGCCTGCGCCTGCGCCTGCGCCTGCTCCTGCTCCTGCTCCTGCGCCTGCTCCTGCTCCTGCACCTGCTCCTGCTCCTGCTCCTCCGAATTCTCCTCCTGCTCCACCTCTTCTTGCTCCTCCTCGTCCTTCTCTTGCTTGTCCGGTCCTCCTGCGCCTCCTCGTCCTCCTCGTTGTCCTCGTCCTCTTCCCTCTCCCCCCTCTCCTCTCCTTGCTCCTGCCTGCTCCTTCTTCCTGTCATCGTTGCTCCTTCCTCCCTTCTTATCCTTCAATCTTTCTCTCGGTCGCCCTCCCTCACCTCCAGTCGATCCTCGCTAGTCTCCAAGTTCAGCTCCTTGTCTTGAAGCATCATGTGAACCACACTCCAGTCACACTTGTTGTCCTGAGATGAGCAGTGAAAGGTGAGAAGAACAGAGAAGTGAAGAGTGAGGTGAGGAGAGGAGAGGAGAGGAGAGGAGAGGAGAGGAGAGGAGAGGTGAGGTGAGCAGAGCAGAGCAGAGCAGAGCAGAGCAGAGCAGAGGACAAAATCGGAGAGGAGAGGAGAGGAGAGGAGAGGAGAGGAGGGGCAGGACAGGACGAGGACGAGGAGGGAGTGAAACGAAGAGAGGAGCAAGACAAGGTTACATCGTCCATCTTCTTCATCATCATCTTTCTGAACTTCCATGTTGTGTACCTGTACCTGTTGTGTCGCAGAATCAGCGATAAGAAGCAA